CTCCAACTCTTTCCCTACATCGGTCTGACCTGTATGATGATAATTCCCTCCACCTCCATAGTGTATCTGTTATACTGTGTCCACACTCAGAGGGCTCAAAAGTCAAGACTTCTTAGGTCTTACCTGAAGACCTGCTCTGACACCCTTGTCCCAAGGAGGTGGGACAGAGTCAGACAGCCCCCTTATCCAACTGCAAGGCATCTGTCTATACAGGGTCCTCCTTATCCAACTCCAGGGAATCTGTCTATATAGGGTCCCCCTTATTCAACTGCAGGGCATCTGTCTACACAGGGTCCCCCTTATCCAACTGCAGGGCATCTGTCTACACAGGGTCCCCCTTATCCAACTGCAGGGCATCTGTCTACAAAGGTATTGTTCATGACCTTCTCAGATGAGACAAACTGGGTTTTAATGGGCTAGCTGAAACATTGAGGTAAGGAGAAAGTGAAAAATCACACAACACACAAACATAATTTTCAAATCGAGGGCAGGATGGCTCTGTGACCTTAAGGGTCCTACATTCACATTGGAAGGCAAGAGAGTGAGAGAGCATGTGCACCTGGAAACCCTTTATTTATAAGAACATTAACAAAGAATTTTTGAAAGAATGTTATTCACCAAATAAGGCAGAGGTGGGCTGCCATAACCCCAATGGGTAATGGCCACGCCCAGATCTATGGGAAAGCAGATTTCTTGGTCCAGTGAAGGTGGAGGCCATGTGGATCCCACAGTCCAAACAGCATTTAATACCAGACAAACACCCCCTGGGCTCAAGGCTGAGAGAGGATGCTTAACAGCTCATGGGCGGCCACCCACATATTCCCCCTTTTTACTTTGAAAGCGTAAATGATGAGCTGTTATCTTGAGTTCCTAGATTCTTATTCTGAGGACATGACATTTTATTTTCACAATACAAAAGAGAATTAATAGCATAAATAACATTCAAATAATATGCCATGCAGACGGTTTCAGCATGTTTCCAGAATTAAAGCCATTTAACTCTTAAAGTATTTCATCACCTAGAGAGGTAGTATCCAAAAGATCAATTTTACATTTTTTAATATCCTGGATATGGTAATGTAACTAAAAAATACAAACTATTATTATTATAGCTCTGCCAAATACTCATTAGATGATTTTTAATGTTTTTCCAATCCCATTGTATTTAGCTGTAGTAACAGAGATGGTTATAACCACTTGGAAGTAGAAAGCTCATGAGCAATATTTATTACACTTGTTTCTAGAGCATTAAATTTAGTTTCAATCTTTTCATCAATATTTATCTGATTATAGATGGCTCTAGAAATATTTTGATATAGCCATTGAGGCTGTAACCATAGAAGCAATGAATAAAATTAAAGAGCCACTCCAAGGATTATGAGACCAAGAGCTCACTTAGGTATGGTTAACTGAGCATGCATCTGTTATAAAATCTGAACACCAACATCAGTATACCACTCTTCTGAGACCTTGGCTGATTATAAAAGTGGGCTGGTTAAGGATCACTGTTCTTTTCCAGGTATTATACCTAGTGATGCAATTAGCTAAGTTGCATTTTTTACAGGCTAACAGATATTTATCAGTCTTTCTCTATATCTCACATTTCCAAAAATTAGAGCCTAAGAAGATTGAACTCAGGCCTGCAGGCCATAGCAGGAACCCTCCTGATGATTCCTGCCTGTAAAATCCAGCAGGGGGCTATCACTATAATACAGGACATCTGAGGCTAAAATTAAGCACCAAACATCCTTTTTGATGCCACCTTCTCTGAAGGTTAGGATATTACCAATGAAACCTCCAGGGATGATGACATCCTTACATAATTGTCTTTTGTCAATTCTAGGAGACCAGTCTAAAATATATCCACTATTTCTAGACACTTTAGGTTGTACTGGCAAGGTAATTGCACAATTCTTCCATTTAAGAAAGATGTCAAATTCTATTGCAGAATGATTAGGACAGTAAGGTATTGGTGGATTTCTGCAGAAATGACAGGCTTGTTATGAGACTGTCCCATTTTAACACCTGTCCTAACATATATGGCATTGAGTCCCAGGGGCCAGTAAAATTGGCTGGTCTAGCTCCCCATATGTTGTCTTTTCCTCAAAAGATACCCTTAGACAGCCAGCACGCTTATCAAGGGATCAACATACAGGTAGCTGACCACTCTAACTAGTATAATTAAACCCAGTCACATGGATGGATTTTCCAGTTCACATTGTAAGTTAAAGGTGTACTTGC